TCCATGTCTACATACCTCTTGATAATTTTCGTAGGCCCGCATAGCGGCACTGCAATCCTTCGGTGTGCTCATCGGCAAGTGATGCAATGTTGCATAACCGCTACTTTCCTGCGAGCCACGACTGGATGGAGTTTGTGGTGCCGGTAGCGCTGGTGCAGAAGGCAAATCAAATCTAAAATTTTGCTGGTTTTGCAGATAGGCATGTACTTGCATTCTTTTTGAAGATTCTTCAAGCCAAAGCACTTTCGCTGAGACTACGGCTCACGTATTAGGATGTGTACTAAGAGGATCGGATCGTTGAGAGCGAGGAATAGCTTCCGGGCCGGTTCCCCAGATATGGGAAGTTAAATAAGGTAAGTCCGCTTCGCCTTTACCATCACTGGCAGAATGATCATGTGACGAAGCTATTTCTTCGTCATGTATATGTTCCACTACAACTCTAAAAAATATAAGTTATGCTTTTTTAGCTTGCTAAAGCTGGCTTGAGGGCCTTACCCTTTGCTATCCACTAGACGGTATTTGTTCATGCGATCTTTGAACATACGTTGACTTCTATTCTTTAAATAAGAAGCCTTTCCTTTTACAGCCACGAGTTCCCACCTGAAAAAATTGAAATTACCTCGAACGAAAGAGATGTTAAACATACTTTTTTGTTTTGTCCTCCAAAGCAACGCTGAAGTGGGACGGCCGCCTTCGAGAGGAACCCGTTTTTGCCTCACCAGTTACTGTATCAGCTATATATTTGTTATATTTGAATTTCTTACTATATCACAACTCTGAACTTTCCACGTATCAAAATTCTATCGGAAAAACGACCAAGTTCCAAACCTTTTACTTTCGAACCAGGCGAAGATGAATGAGTTTGAGACTTTTTTCGTTTTGCCTTCTTGTCCTTTTCGGACTTTTCCGGATTATCGTTGGGTGACGCTTTAGCAGTCTAAATTGGAGAACTTACTTGCAGCTAGCATAATAACTCTGCTTAAAGAGAGTGCGTCTAGACGCTAGGTAAATACCGACCTTTGCCTTCCTCCGAAGAGAAAGCCTTGCGAGTAATCCCCGTTTCTGAGGAGGTGGATTATCTTCACTGCCTGATACCTCTTGTGTGTCTCTTGCTGTCAATCTCGAATCATCCGCATTATTCAATGGTAGATGGGAATATCTGAAATGCTTTAATATGTGAAATAGAAAAGTTACACTAGCTAAGCTTATGCATCGCCACACAT